TTGAGTATACAGCCAGGAGTAGAACTGCTCAGTCATATGGTAACTCTGTTTTAGCCTTTTGAGGAGCTGCCTAATTATTGTCCAAAGCAGCTGCACCATTTTACAGTACCGCCCGCCGGAAGTACAGGAGGGGTCTAGGGAATCTATATGCTAAAACCCTTCTCAAAAGCTTCCTCCATCCCTCCCTGGAGACTTCTGCTAACATTTCATCGGCCAGAATTGGGTCATGTGGCCACTCCTAGCTGCTACAACCGAACCTGGAGAAGTGAGTATCTAGCCTTTAAACCTCTATTGTAGGAGGTCATCTTTTCCGATAGGAAAGGCCCTCTTGAAAACCCCTAACGGGGGGCACCCTGCTTCCGCTCCAACGCTGCCAGTGATAAGACCCTCTGTCTGCAGGGAGCCCCCACTGCACATTTGAATGGTTCTTATTGTGAGCGATTCCTGTACACTGAGTAACGTATCTAACATTTTCCCTTCAGAAATAATAAAACAAAGGGAATGCGGGAATGGAAATGAAATAGTCATTAATAATGTAAATGTGATGTTCCGACTATTATTGCACAGCTCACAGGAGGGTTCAGTAATTGTTTGTCTCCCTCCCTTCTACGCCCCCCTTTCCGGTCTCTTCTCTAAAATGGGATGGAAAGGAGGATACATTTTGCTGTTTTGTCAAATTATACACTTCTAGGACATCAGGGATGATGTTTTCTAATTGACTTTGGTTCACACCTGCTACAACTTAAATGTATATGAGCATTAATGAATTTTTTTTTCCTATAGAAAAGGGGGAAGACAGACGAAACCATTCACAGGCCTCACCATTGGATTATAAGCATGCTGGGTGCTTAATGAGTTGCTGAATAATATAACACTCCTTTAGTTCTTTGGCTGCCTCATGATTAAATGCTATAAATATTTATGATTTATTACTGATGCTTTGGATAGGATAGGCTTTGGAAGGCTCATGGATCACAGCGATTCTAAAGGAAAATAAGAAAATAAAACTATATAAAGCTACTTATTTATAATGCTGCTCAAATGGGTTACATAATTTGTCAGAAGCTGGTGGGGGTAAAGCTATTCAGAGGCAATGCCATTTAAACAGTTTCTTTTATCATTGATTATATATTTCTCATAAGCATATATTTATAATAAACAAGAGTTAAAGTCGCTAATTTCTCTTAACAACCCACTTACTTTTGAAGGTTTCAGTTAGGCTGCAAAATCAAAGAGCTTCACATTATGTTTCTTGCAAGTGCTGTCATGCTGTATGTGCCAACCAGAGACAAGTACACGGGACTCTTTCTCCCAGAGTCAGAATACTTGTCTCCGCGAACCAAGGCTGGCAGCGTCTGCAGCATCAAGCCCAGCTGCTTTTAATGACTCACTTGCAAAAGTTTTTGCTCTCTGTTTCTTTGGTTCTACTGGTTTAGAGGTTAAGTACCCAAAAGAGTTACACTTGCACAAGGGGCATTGCAGTGTTGCAGAGGCAGCTGTAATGCGGGTTATTGACTCAGATAACTGGGTTTGATTCCTAACTCCATCAAGTTGCCTGGCCCTAAGCAAGTTATTTAGCCTCTCTGAGCTTCAATTCCTTCATGGAGTTACTGAGGATTAATTGAATCAATACCTGTGAAGCACTTGCCTATAGCAAGTGCTCAGTTAAATGCTAGATATTATCTCCATTAAAAGGAGTCAAGCAAATTGTTTGACTTACAATATACTTTGTAATGAAATGGACGTCTATGAATGGTGTACTAGGTGGCTTATTGCTCAGATCTGAGAAAAATTTAGCTTATACAGAAAAACAGAAGCATTAAATTTTTTTCTCTGAAACTGATTCTGTATATATGTGTGTCCTAATATATACATGGAGAACAAAATTATTGTTTAGCCTTTTCACATATCTTGTCTCATTGCATCTTTATATTTACCCTTTGAAGTTGTTATTATTCTCTTCATTTTACTGATGAGGAAACTAAGACTTGGAGAGAGAAGGTGATTTCCCCAATAGCACCAAACTACTAAGGGGCAGGTCTTCTAACCAATCAATATATACACAAAGTGATGGCAGGAATATGTTTTTGCTTTGTTTTGTTGTTGTAAGAAATGGAAAGCAAGAGGAGGAATGGAAAAAGCACCATCCTATAATTCTCAATGAAGGAAAAGGACAGGTTCTCCTTGAAAAACGTCAGCCCAGCTCTCCTAACATGCAGATATCCATCACATGATTGCAAAGCAGATCTGCTTTTTCCTGGTTTCCAAATTGGACAACTTTAAATATAAAATTTCACTCATTTTTTGAATCACAAAGGCCAGGCATTCAAATAAAATTATGGTTTTTTTCTTAAATTATAGGTGTAGCCTGTCCAGAGTCTAAGAAACCTTTGCATTGTAGACCAAAGTGTTTTACTATTGCATTTACCCACCCCATTCAAGTGGAGGGTAAAAATTTTACAATTTCTAATGTGCCAATGCCAGTGAAGAAAGCAAAAGGCTGCTAGAAATTTGTGACTGACAGCTGAGTGTTCTCAGCCAGATAATGAAGTCTCTCTCGCATGCAGAGCCACCTCGAGTACCAAGACAGAGGTCATATATTCATGTCACTGAGAGAATTTCATCTGTTTCCTTATTTGAAAAAGGATTCTTAATAACTCTTCCATATTTCCCTAGTTTTGCTTCAGACAAAAAGAATTAGATAATCATGTCACATACCAAGAAGAGACCATTTATAATACCCATGAGAGTAAAACCTTTCAGGACTGAATGGCAGGTTGCTCAGTCTCCCTGAAACATAAAGTCTCGACTAGAGGGAACACAACAGTGAGCAAAGCCAACCTGGCTAGCTACATCATGTGAGGTGGCCCTGGGTGAAGGCTGTAATTGTTCCAGTAGGTGAAGTCTATATAACACAGTAGCAATGAATAGCATTTATTAAATAGTTTATATCTGCCAGCTATGCTACTAAATACTGTATCTGATTTACTCCCGCAAACAGTACTATGAGGTAGGAAATATTATCTTCTGGTTAGAAATATGGAAACTGAGGTTTAGAGAAGATTCAGAGCTAACCCAGGTCACACAAATACTTAAATGACATAACAGAGACTCAGTCAGACTCAGAGGCCTCTGTTATCTAAGTCTATAAGATCTTTTCAATTTTTTACAACCTCTCCTTTCTTTGGAATGTGGCCCCACTTTTATAGCTGGGGAGTATGTTAGTTATCTATTGCTCCATAACAAATTGCCACAAACTTAGTTGCCTGAAGCAGTGCTCACCTACTATCTGTAGGTCAGGAATTAGGGCTTGCCTCAGCTGGCTCCTCTGCTTCAGGGTCTCTCAGAAGATTGCAATCAAGGGCTCAGCCAGGGTTGGGGGCTCATTTGAGGCTTAACTGGGGAAGCATTTGCTTCCAAGCTCACATGATCGTTGGCAGCATTTGGTTCCTTGCAGGTTGTTGGACTGAAGGCCTCACTTCCTTGCTGTGTGGGCCTCTCCACATGGCAGCTTATTTCATCAAAGTCACCAAGAGAGAGTCTGCTAGCAAGATGGAAGTTACAATCTTATGTAACGTAATCATGATAGTGGCATTCCACCACGTTTGTTGTTTTCTATCGCTTAGAAGCCAGTGGCAGGTCCTGCCCACACGTAAGGGGAGGGGATTATACAAAGACGTAGACATTAGGAGACGGGAGGAGCATCTTAGAGTCTATTTGCCACAGGGAGTCATATTAAATGTTCCATGTTTTCCTTTATATTTCTACCAACTCCATAAAGTTTTCATAAAGCTCCTTGTCCAGGACCAGAGAAAAGTTTATAATTATTTTTTAAAATATTTTAAAACCCCAACAAGGCTATTTATCTCACAGTAGTTTTTTAAAATATTACTTATTATTTATTAAGACTCAGGCCTTAATTCTTATTAGTTACATTATTACCTTATTTCTGGAAATAAGCTCACTGCATATAGGACCCCAGGGAAGTGTACATTTAATGGGGTTAACAGGGTCATGAAATAAATATATGGCAGCAGTTCCAAATCCTTTGAATGAGCTCTACTGGCCTTCCAGCCAGGACCCTCCTGAGTCAGAGGCTACTTCTGGAAGAAATATAAACTGAGAAGTGCTACAGAAACTCTCTAGCACAAAGCTTCTGGCAGTGCAGGCTTACAGCAAACAGAGAACAGAATGCTTACAATGAGAAATTGGTTATAGAGGTTATCCTTTTTATTGCTTTTTAGTGTCTCAAATCCCACTGTACCAGGGGAATGTAGCCTGCCTGAATTATATAGCAGCTTAAAAAATCTTTTCATCACTATCACCACATACATATGTCTGTGTGTATATATATGTATGCATGACACCCAAAATTTAGCACCATGAATTCTCACTGCTGCTGCAAAACTGTGTTCTTTCTCAAACCTCTTGACGTACACTGCATCCAAAAAAGGCTTTGGAAGTCTTCCAGAGCCCAGTTACGTTGGGGGGGATGCAAACCCACCCATCTTTCATCTCTCTGTAATTTCTTCAATAACTGCAGAGTAGAGTGGCATTGGTTTACCAAGGAAAAGCTAACAGATTTTTTTCTATAAATAACTGGTTGGCAGTGCTGTGGTGACAATTTATATAATAGAACTCGTGCTTAAATAATAAAGTAACAGCTTTGGACTGAGAATTTTAAGATGTTTTATTGAAATGTAGACTGATTAACAGGCAAGATTCTTCTTCTAATTATTTTAATTATAGGCTGTTAATGACAAGAAGCTGTAGAAATAAAAACACGTTAAAATTACATTTTTAATGAAGTGGCACCTGGAAGCCCTCACTTCTCCAAAGCAAGAAGGGGTAATCTATTGTTACCTGGAAACAATGCATGCGTACATAGAGGTCAGGAAGATGTTCGTTTAGGAGACAGAATTATTTATGACCTGGTTTCTCTCTGAATGCCGGTAGGATAAGGAAGATGTGTAGTATGGTAAAAAGAACCCCGCACTTACAGTCAAGAGGCTGATTTCTAGTCCTGGCTCTGTTAACCACTTCCTGCTTCACTATGTCCACTTCACCTTTCTTGGCCTCAGTTTTTCACCTGTAAAATGAGGAAGTGAAGTTAGTTAATGAGCTCTAAACTCCCCTTTTAACTTTATAATTCCATGATTTCATTATTCTATCATAAAGAATAATAAACTTTCAGGGAAAATAGATTGAGTATGTCTGTTAGTAAATATTAATTCACGTGCACATGTAAAGATGGCAGCTTTTAAGACATAGATAGGCTTTTCATGGAATTTAGTAAAACTAAATTGGACATGTATCCATGTACCCAACACTGTACTGGGTACGTGTGGGTGGGTAAGGTTGCAAGGTAGAGAAAGGATAGTATCCATCTGTCACCCATTCAGTCATTCATTTCCTAAGCAAATATTTCTTTGCTTATATCAGGGAAGGTTTCAATGATAAGGTAGCATTTGAAGAGGAATCTAAAGAGAATGAAAGAGCAAGCCATACAGATTATAACTCGGAGGAAAGCATTTCAACAGAGAAGGAGCAAGTGCAAAGGCTCTGAGGTAGGAGTGCCTTGTTTTCTTCAAGGATTAGCAAGGAGGCCAGAGTAGCTACAGCAGAGTGAGTGAGGAGCACAGCAATGGGAGATGAAGTCGGGGAGGCAGTAAGAGCTAGGTCAGGTAAGGCATTTAAAGACGATTATACTGTCCAGCTTAAGTTGTACACTTTTATCTGTCTTCAAGTCCAGAAAATTCTCACCCATCATCTCTACAAATATGTCTTATCTGCCACTATCCCTATTCTCTTTTTTAGGAATTCCTGTTAGAGCCATGTTGGAGTCATTCAATCTATTTTCTAGTTTCCTAACTGACATTTCCTAGTTTTAATCTCTCTATCATTCTATGCTACATTCTGGGTGAATTTCTCAACAATATTTTCCAATTCTTTAATTATCTGTTCAAATATGTCTAGTCTAGAGTTTATCCTATTCATTATGATTTTTATTTCAGTGATAGTATTTCTTTTATTCTCAGGATTTTCAATTAGTTATTTTTCATATCCACTTGCTCTTGTTTCATCTGACTATTCAACTGAGGATCTTAAGCATACCTATATTAAAGACATTTTCATATTACTCTATTATTTTCATTTCATCTGGAGTAAATATATCTCCTAGTTATTTATATCCTTTGTCTTAGTTCTCTCCATGTGTTTCAGAATTTTGGTTTGAAGGCTCATTGTGAATAGGAGGTTTTATTGTTTTCTCTCTCTTTCTTTTCCCAGACTCTGACAATTTTATGGTTGCTTTATTCTGCCCCCCAACCCTAGTGTGTAGATATCAGCTTTTTTTTTTTTCTAGCAGCTCCTGTCCTACTGGAATTGAAAAAGATCCAGAGACTAGCCCAGTGGGCTGCTTGCCCCATGTTCTTACTTCAAGAAAAGATCCATCATTTCCCACTCTTCAAGATACTCAGCTTTGAGCTTCCAGATAGCTAAATATGCAGAGGGTCCTGGAGGGTGGTGTTCATTCCCTGGGAGGGCGTGGAAGCTCTGTGCCCCTTCCCCCATACCTCACCCTATGCAGCTCTTCATCTATATCCTTTATAATAAACTGGTTAAAAAAAAAAAAAAGATCCTCAGCTTCATATAATCCATTGCTCCAGGCAAGGGTCCACTGTAACCTTTTTTCATCCTTCTTTCAGGAATGGGAGAGTCTGCCAAAGTACTGGTTTCACTCAATGAAACTGTCTCTGTCTTGCCTCACCTACCAGATATTGCGCCTGCTTTCCTACCTCATAGCCCATGGCTTTGGCCTTGCTTGTAATATTGTATTTTTGGTCCATAAAAAGATATATATTTTTTGAGCGTGACCATTTGTGTTTAGGTTTCTTAAAATATTTTTATCTCCCATTGTTATGTGTTTGGAGCCAATGGACAGGGAGTGGACCTAAAAGTGTAAACTTATATGCCATCTTCAACAGAAGTCTCTTCAGGAAGAATCTGAGGCACAGAACAGGCCTTAAAGAATTAATAGGTCCTGAGTAGGCTGAGTGAAAGTATAATCCCAGGGCCAAAGTTAGGAAAAGTTGGATGAGTGCAGGGAAATGGGAGGAAACCAATCTGGCTAGAGAGAGCAATGGCAGTTGAGACCTACAGACTCCCACAGCCAGGGTTAGGTGCCTCTTCCCTGTGTTTCTGTCCTAGGCTGTCCTGCCCGTCTTACCATACTCATCACTTCTTTGCAATTGCCTAAAGGCAGAAACCTGTATATCTTTTTTAAAAATGTTTTATTGTATATATATTTAAGGTATACAACATGATGTTGTGATATACATAGTGAAATGGTTACTATAGTCAAGCAAATCAGCATATTCATCATCTTGCATAGTTATTTTTTTATAGTAAGAGCACCTAAAATCTACTCTTAGCAAATTTCTAGTATACAATATTATAATTCTAGTCTTCATGTTGTACATTAGGTCTCCAGATAAGAGGGTCTTTTTTATTTAAACATTTTCTTCTGGCTGGGTGCGGTGGCTCACGCCTGTAATCCTAGCACTCTAGGAGGCCTAGGCGGGCAGATTGCTCAAGGTCAGGAGTTTGAAACCAGCCTGAGCAAGAGCGAGACCCTGTCTCTACTATAAATAGAAATAAATTAATTGGCCAACTACTATATATAGAAAAATTAGCCGGGTATGGTGGCACATGCCTATCTGTAGTCCCAGCTACTCAGGAGGCTGAGGCAGGAGGATTGCTTAAGCCCAGGAGTTTGAGGTTGCTGTGAGCTAGGCTGATGCCACAGCACTCACTCTAGCCTGGGCAACAAAGCAAGACTCTGTTTCAAAAAATAAAAAATAAATAAAAATTTTTTTCTGCCCCAAAATCTCATTTTTTTATTGACAAATAAAATTGTGTGTATTTGCTGTGTACAATATGATGTTTTGAAATACATATACACTGTGGAATGACTAAATCTAGCTCATTAACATATGCATTATCTCACATGGTTATCATTTGTGTGGTGAGAACACTGAACATCCACTCTCCTAGCATTTTTCAAGAATACAATATATTGTGATGAACTATGGTCGCCATGTTGTGCAATAGACCTCTGAATGTATTCCTCCTAACTAAGATTTTTATATCCTTTCACCACTGCCCTGCCCCTGAAAACTTATGTGCATCTTGGTCACCCCTAAATCTCCTCTGCCTGTACAGGGCCTGGACAGACTAGGTACTTGACAAATCTGTGTGGAATAAATAAATGAATATTGGGTGCAAAATCAGGGTGTGAAAAAAATACATTGATCACATGTCACTTCACTCCAACAAACACTAATCATTAGTCGTTTTCTCTTTAGCTGATCAAAGACCCAGTTCCTACTATCTTCTTTTCATCCATGCTTCATAACATGTCATCCATTCCCAAAACGACACTAAAAATGCTCCACTTAAAAGCCGCCAAATCTTCCCAGACACAAAATACAGCTATTTTCAGTTCTCGCCTCATGAACCTCTCTCTCTGCATGCACCTCTGTCCTTGACTTCACAGCACCACGCTGTCTTGTCCTGGAGTAGCGACAGCTACTAGATTGGACAGCTGAAAACACAGATACTTGGTTATAAGCAAGCATTTGGCCAAGCGCCTGAACAGGGAGTGACCTGACAAAAGCTGTGTGTTAGAAAATCAGATCTAAATGTAAGAGGCAGAGCAGATGGGGAAAGGGCAAGATGGGAGGCAGGGGAAACTATTTATCCTTGCAGGTCTGTCTGGTATCTTTCTTCTCTGGGTGGTTTTTACTGATCTACAGGTCTCCTTAGTGCTTAGTTGTGCTGCCTAGAATATCAGCTCCTCTTCCTAGCACAGGGACCCTGTTGATCGACATTTTGTATAGTCAAGACCCATGCTCTGGGACTAGTCTTGTCCCTGAGACCCCCAGCCTACTGTCTGGGCTACTGGTGCAGGGGAGTAAATCTTTCAAGAATGGCCACCTCCCTACATGTGTCCCTTACGTCATTCTTCCCTGGCATTCTCTGTGACTTCTGAAGTGAGGCCTATGACACTGATGGGGTCACCCAGCTTCCCTCCACACACTCATCCCTTGCTTGCTCTGTGTCATTCCCTTCTTGCCCTGGTGAGGGAGTGTCTGGTAGCTGTGGCCTGGTTCTTCCTCCCTACTGGTTCTGTCCCTTGTTGCTGATTACCATAATGCCTTGCACTCCATGCCTGTTTGCAGTTGGAACATATGGGGTGATGAGGCTTGTTAGGCCCCAGTCCTAGAACAGCTGGAGTAGTAGGCAAGTTACCTAAACAATATCTCAGGCAGAGTGTCCCAGGGTAGAAACTCATTGGCAATCCTGGGGTACAAGGAGATGAAGAGTGTTGTAAATGATACAGAGAGCTAGTTAACCAAATGGGGGCACAGGGCAGGGCTGGATGTATTGTTGGGTAAACTGATGGTTTGCCCATAGGACTGGGTTGTAGCTCTAGAAATCTCTATTGTCTGAGGTCCAGACTGGTAGAGATTGATGGAAGTAAGGATTTAGCTTGTAGGTAGGAATCCAAATGGCCTGGCTATCTGGATGGAGACTGGAGCAGTGTTGAGAACCAGGCACAAACTATAGAGGGCCTTGTATATACCAGTACGTGTCTGTCTGTATGTATTTATAGTACATACATATTTAAAGTACATACATATTTACAGTATATATGTACTATAAATTTATTTGTATGTATATTTTATATGTATTTATATGTATATTTTATGTATAGGATGATATGTATACTATAAATACATATTTATAGTATTTAGACTATATATAGTAATATAACTCATACATATTGAATTATTTTTATATATCAAACCGTGCAAAAGGCACCAACATTGTGACTCAGAATCTAAAGATCCCTCTCTCTCTGTAGGTGCTTTCTTATTCTAAAATTGTTGTCCTGTAGTATTAAAATTTGTGTCCTTTTTCCAGCTCCCTGAATTGCTTGAGAACTTTTTTCCTAGGGGCTGGCTGGGGGTGTTATGGACCACCTGTGAAGGCAGTTGTCAACAGATAACTGGCATAAAATGAAGACTTTTCTTTCTGCAGCCCATATGGATCGATGCCCCAGTTGACTACACTAAAATTTTTTCTTATTAGTTCCATTCCTTCCTTCTTTTTGTGTCTTAGGTTGCTTTTGTAACCCCTGGTTAATTGAGTGACTCCTATCCCTCCCTGTTTCTCCCTGTCGTCCCTTTTCTTATTTTTATTATTATTCCTGAGGGCAGTGAGGTATCTTCCCCAACAGCCCGCAGCGGCGGCGGCGCACTGCTTGGAGTTGGGGTGGGGAAGAATAGGCTTGGTCTAGGAGATCCACATCAGAAGATTCGCTTCACATTCTTTGCAGAAGGCAGCTGACAGTGTCTTTTGTGTTGTTGCTCCTGTTTCCCAACACATTAGTGAAGTTTAGGCATTTTATCTCATTGAGTAACTGATGCATCATCTAGTTCAAATCCTCACATTTCCCGGGTTGATGATACAAGTCATTAAAAAGGCAGGAAGCTGCCACAAGAAACTGACAGTGATTTCATGTTCTTTTCGGCTCATCTCATTGTGAACTCTGAGTCCAAAATGACTTTCACTCTTCCTGGCTTTGGTTTCACCTGCCTTCTTTATTTTCCTTTTAATCTGATTGGGTTGGTTGCGTCATATACTCATATAGAAAATTTTATCCTTGAAAATTGGCTTATAGGCCAGAAAGAGATGAACTTTTCCTCTTTTTCCCTCCTCCCCTCCCCCCTCTTCCACTCTCTGCTCCTCATTGCCCTGTTAACAGTCTTCTAAGAGACACGTCGGCTATTTCAGGAACTGCTATTCTTATAAACCAAAATAGTTTCGTTGCTTTAGGAGGAGTAAAAGAGCTATAAATGATTCATTGACTCCTCTTCTGCTGTTCCCTCCTGTGAGTGTGCCAGGCAGTGTGCTAGGAACTGGAATTGTTTATAAACACCCAAGGGTACATTAATTCCCATTTTATGACTTTTATAACTTAGGGTCAAATTTTCAAAGCCTCCTGTACTAAATTTCTCCATTTGGTACTCAGCAACCTGTAATTAATTAACTATGGCCACAATGAGCCCTTTATTGGAAATGTGGTGACTGGGACAGGCGGTACATGGAGAAATCCCACCATAGGACGTGTGCAAGTGCAGCAGGGAACAAAGAATTCATGTGAGTTTCCCACAGAGTGTACTTTTTGAGTAACTAAATCGTTCCCCTTCAGCTCTCTGAAGCTGTCTTTGCTTCCCTGTTCATTTCTGTTCCTTTACATAATCCGTGAGAAAGGTTTTCCTTCTGACTTGCCAGGGCTCCTGGCACACCTATCTTCATGTCAGACTCAGCTTCTACTCTTATCTTCTCTCCTCCCCTTTGCAGTCTGCAAAAGGCCCCATCCTTCCCCAGCCCTGAGATTTCTGTGCCTTTCACGGGATTTGTCTTATCTCTGATTACTTTGTGTGCCTCTTTATCCACCTCCTGTATCGGAGCACACAAAACCCTCTAGAAGAGTCTGTGGAGTGTTTTCCTGCTTCTTGACATTGTGTGGGTTTGGGCTTTTTTATTTTGCTTTGTTTTTCAAGTGCTCCGGAGCATGGCTGGTCAAATTACTAAGGAGGCTGAGTGGGCTTCACTGGGGCTCACGCTTTTTCTTCGAAGGAACCCGAGCACTGGCGAGTGCCCCCTCCTGTTTCCCTGGGCCACGCATTGTCTTCCCACTGAGACCAAGTGGCCCTGCCCCGTGTCTCATCCCCACAGGCCACCTATGCTTCCCAAAACATACTAGGGGAGTTGAATGCCAACTCATATTGATGCCAAGGTCCTGCTTTAGGTGCTGTTGCTACAAAGATAAACATAACACAGTCCTTAACCTCAAGGAGTTCCTAACCTTGTGTGGAAAATATACACACTGCTTCAACGATTATAAAGCTGTCATTGCTAAAGGTTATGACAGCTGCCTGCACAGGGACTATGGGAGCATGTAGGAACACAGATGATTCTCCAGTAAAAACATGGGAAATAGAAGTTAAAGTTGAAAAACAATGCTCTTACACTTTGATGGATTATAAACTATCATGTGTAAATGGGAGTGGAATTAGGAAAGGGGGAGAGGAGCTACCCAGAGAATGTGCTATTTGAGCTAAGTCTTGAAGATTGAATACTGGAGGATGCTCTTACACCACTCCCAACAAAAAGGAATTTTCCAGCTGAATGAGGAAGGAAAGGTTGCTATTGGCAGAGGAAAAACCAAATTGCAAAGGCACAGAGGCATGAGACAGTGCTAACTGTTCGGGGAAACTGCTGCTCCCTCACTGCGGGGGGTGGAGGAGGAGGTGGGCACGGAGGCTGGGGATGTCTGCTGAGAATATGCAGGCCCTGGGGAAAGCTGCCTGTGAAGGCCCATCCTGGAATAGGTGTGAGGACCAGGTAGATTTGAAGCAGTATTTACTCAGAGTAGCCACAAGAAGACATGTGCTGAAGAAGAATGTTCTCAAACATTTTTGGGCCTGAAAAAAACATATTTTGCATAGCAAGCCAATGCACACATATTGAAAATTGACTCTTAGTCTTATATTTTCTATTTTATCCTATTCTATTCTATTTCTTTTTTTCTGTTTCATCTAAAAAATAAATGCTAGTCATGACTCTCTAAACTTATCCCACAACCCAACAGGTCAACTCAAGGTTTGGAAAACACTATTTTAAAGGGTGAGTGTAAGTTATAGTCCAAAAGGGAACCCAGGGTCAACTCAGTTTGAGAGGTAACTAGGACAGAGGAAACCAGGAACTGATCAGGAAAGAGAGAACAAGGCATAAAGTTCAGGATCTAGTTGGTGAACCAGGCAAGGGTTGGGGAACTGTTTTCACAGTGATAGTTGCACATCACAGGACTGGGCTAATTAGCCTAAAGGTATAGAGCTCAGGAAGACGATGAAAAACCTTATAAGTTAAGAAGAATTTGAGGCATTGAAAAGTTTTAAGTAGGTGTATCAGTTAGCTGTTGCTGCATAACAAACCATCCCAAAACTTAGAGACTTAAAACAACAACCTTAGATTTTTTTTCACAAGTCTACTGATTGGTTAGGCAGTTCTGCTGCTCTGGGTAGGACTTGCTATGCATTTTGAAGCAGCTAGCAGGTTGGCTGGGACCTGGCTCACCTAGGATGGCCTTGACTGGGAAAGCTTGGCTCTCCTGCATATGTCTCCTGCATCCATCCAGCAGGCTGGTGTGGACGTGTTCTGGTGGACTAGCGGGGGTCCAAGAGAGAAACAGATGTGTGAGTACTTTTTCAAGCCTCTGCTGTATCAAGTTTGTTATTATCCCCTTGACCAAAGCAATTCACATGCCCGAGCCTAGACTTGGCGTGGGAAGGCACTGCCCTGGAGCTTGGGTACAGAGAGACATGAAAGATTGGGCCATTAATACAATCAGTCTTCACAGCAGAGAAGAAACAAGGTTAGATTTGTGTTTTAAGAAGATCACATTGGCCACTCTGTGTTGGAAGAAGATGATGCTGGAGGCAGCGAGGCCAGGTAGGAGGACACTTTAGTAATTCAGATCAGACATGATAAGGGCTCAAACTAAGGGGGTAGGTTTGGGGAGGAAGAGGTTGCTGGAGTTCTAAGGAGTCAATAAATCCCTTTTCTGCTTTTGATTCAAAACCAATTGAGAAATGGACATATAGCTTAAATAAAGAGGCAAGCTTTCTCAAACTCCTGGCCTCAAGCCATCCTCCCACTTCAGTCTCCCAACATGCTGGGATTACTGGTGTGACCCATTACCCCTGGCAGAGCAAATTCTTTGAACCTTCCTCCTCCCCAACCCCTAAGGCTTCAGCAAAGCCCTGCAGAGTAGGTACAGTCACTCAAGATTACTGCTTCCCACTGGTCTATGGCAGAGAAGAACAAAAGGGGAGTGAAATCTTACAGTCTAATAAGAGATCCACCTGTCAACTAGATGTGAGTAAAGTGTGGAGGGAAGGGCCAGGAATGACATGCTAGTGCAGGGGTCATCAAATTTTCCTGTAAAGGGCCAGAGAATAAGCATTTTATGCTTTGCAGGCTTTTGAGTCTCTGTTATAACAACTCAGTTCTACCACTGCAGTGCAAAAGCAGCCATAGGTGATACATAATGAATGAATGTTGCTGTGTTCCAATAAAACTTTATTTGTGGGCACTGAAATTTGAATTTTCATGTCTCACAAAGCATTCTTCTTTTGATTTAGTTTCAACCATTTAAAAAACATTAAAAACCATTCTTAGTGTGTTGGCTGTACAAAATCAAGTGGTTGCTGGATTTGGTTTGCACATCCCTACTCTGGTGGAAGCTGTTCCACAAGAAAATATGAAGTCAGAAGAGAGGAGTTCCGCCAATCTAATTGTAGCCTAACGAAGGTAATTTTTCAGGCCAGTGTTGTTGCTGCATCACACGAAACAACTTTTATGATGAGAACGTCAAGTCAAGTCAAGTCAGCGGGGTGAGGTAGGGACTGGGAGACAGGAAAGGAAGGGAAGCTATTAACATTTATTAGTGTCTCCTCTGTGCAATGCATTTTGCATGTGCTATGAGTTTTTCCGAAACCATGTGAGGTAGTTTTTATGACCCACAATTTGCTAGTGAGGAAAAAGAATTTCAGAGAGGTTAATTAACTTGCCCAAGGCCATACAGCAAGTAGGGACAGAGTTGGTTTTTAAATCTAATGTCCTTTTCCCCAGGACTCTGGTATTTTGGTCAGATGAGGCTTCCATGGTCCCCAACTCTCACCAGATAGGCAAATGCCTTTCTAGTGACCCCGCTCTTCACAGGACTTATGCTGTCACCCAGAATGACCAGAAAATGGCAGAGTTTTCAAAACACTAGATGTCTGCTAATAAAACAGAAAAAGAACAGAGATACTTACGCAGGTACTTCAGGGCCCCAAATGCTCCTCCCTTTCCAAATATTAGCCTTCTTTTCTCCTGAGATGATGAGAAAAAATTCCCAAGGAAATGGGGTTCTTCCTGCCTTTCCTTTTGGGCCCCTTTCACAGCATATGTTCAAAAAAATATTGAGGTGAAATTCACATAACATAAAACTAACAATTTTAAAGTAGAAAATTCAGTGGCATTTAGTACATTCACAATGTTGCACAAATATCACCTTTGCCTAGTTCCAGACTTTGAGCACACTTTGCCTCCTGTCTGATAGATGTTTATCTGCTATACTGTACAGTTCATTTCTTGAGGCTATCTGTGTCCATTTCACCTACATACTCTGAGAGTATCTTGTTAACATTCGATGCCCTGCCAATCCTAGTTGGATGGAATTCCACATACCCTATTCCCAATTTCTTTTTCTGAGCAGCACTTCAAAGGCTGTATTTGGGATCAAAATCTATGCCTTCTTCTTGCCATATACCTTCATTATATCATGAAGTGAAGACAACAAGCTTAATGGTGAAACAGATTCTCTGTCCTATCTTCTTTGAAGACATTCTTTTTATCCCTTTTTCATCTGACTGCACACTGCCCATGTGGATATTAATTTGCATCAAGCTATGGTTAAAGTTTGAATGTGCCTATGAATTTATATTCTATTTCTAAATGAACAACCATAAATCTGAATATTGAAACTCATTAAATAATTAATTTTTCTAGGCTTTCTTCTATTTTGAGAACAGCAAATTTTATAAATATATACATATGAACTGAGAGCTTAGAAATTGAGGCAGATGATAATATGTGTACAATTTTGGTGCAGAATTAGAAAAAAATAATGCATTATGTTTTTTAAAACACAATGTATTAGTCAAGAGGTTTACTTAAAAGAAAAAAAAAGAAAACCCTAGTCTATATTGCCTTTCTACGAACTGTCAAATGGAAAGTAAACCTTTCAGTTATTGTTTCAGAATGTTTTAATCCCTAGAAATAGCTATACCTTAGACCCACTCACTATTGGAAAGCTCTGAGTTTTCTGCATTACAATTCTATACAATTTATATGCTATGCAAATCATGTTCCACTGAAGACCATCTAATGCGTTTATTCTTCTTCAAAATTAGCTAACCACGGCCTTCTCTTCTGCTAAATCAATCCCTCTGCAAAGGCAGATGTAAGGTACTTGTCTGACATGTGCTGCTGCCTATTAGCTCTTCTTTTGCAAAAGATATATGACTGGACAATTGTAAAAAAAAAAAAATCTGTGGGGCCTCATTTTAAAAAAACCTAATTCAAAATCTGGATGATGCTTAAGGTGCGTGGAAGGAAAGAGTAAAGAACAGACCCCAAGTTTCCTGGAGGTGGAGATAGAGACTTGGGAATAGGGCACAGAAGCACAGGGACTACCTTTAAATTGCCATGACTTTAAAAAAATTATTTGTGAGAAATTGACTTAATTCCAGAATTTCTCATCCCTCATCACATTCTAATCAATCTGTACCTATTGGTATTGTTGGAATAACTCCAGCATTAAGACGTGTTGGAGGACATTCATCCTAAATCTCTGATCTTCAATTATGCTGTTTGATGGGAAGGTACTGGCATAAACAGAGGATTATTTATAGCATTAAGCCCAGATATGGTGGGTTCAGCAGCTACTTTACCGAGAAACATAAAGGACATTGTCTTAGAACTGGCAAAGAGAAACTAGATTTGACTCCTCTCACACAATAGTTGCAGCAATATGAAAGTGCTCTGCAAGAGTAATTTTATTGGGAAAGGGTCCCAGTATAATTCAATTAGGAAGCACTCAACCTCATCATCAACAATTCTTATCTTCTAAGAACTAGGGAAGCCATCTTCCTCCTACAGGCCCTCTGGGATTCCCTGTTCATGACTTCAAAGTCCAGGGGTCCTACTAGAAGGAAAATGTTCCAAGAAGGAACAACATGCAACTTGACTATACATTTGCAGTATTGGGCCTGGGACAGACATCGTTTCATGGACCCCATCCTTTTGTCCCATGGGATGGAATAAGTAGCATGACTTAGTGGACAATAACTGAGGCTCCATAGACAGACAGATTTCAAGTCCCAACTCTTCTATTTCAGCTGTGTGAATTTGGGTAAGTTATGCTTTCTCAACTTTACTTTCCACATTTGTAAAATGGAGATCAGATTACCACCCACCTCACGGAGTTTTTCAGGGATTTCAGAAAATAAACCACACACAGTGGCTGAGAATAAGTGCTCAGGGAATGCTAACTGTCAGAGTCACCTTATTCTTTCCCTCCTTACCAGGACTAGGATGACCAGCCTGACTTATCTAACACAATGAATGTCTTGCCTTCCCCTAGTCTAGAAGTCCTTTGGAAGGGCCTTTAAATGCAGTTGTGTGTTAAATTATCTAGGCAGAGTCCATGTACAGGCCTCAAGTCCTATTTTTGAAGTGGGTTTGGTTTTACAATTGGGGTAATAAGGATGATGCTAATAAATCTATAAAAGGTTTATATCTCTGCTCTGTATCTATAAATCTGCCTCAGATACTCTTCCTGGTAATGGGTTTGCCTTGACACCTTCCAAGGTACATCTCACCTTTCAGGAAAGAAATGATGTAGATATTTAACTAATGTAATAGATTTTTATAGTAATGGTTATTCAAGAGATCCACCCCCCACACACACATAGACACACACACCCATGCATTTGGGTAGTACCCTCCCACATCAACTCTGGGCTTGGCTACATGACTTGCTTTGGCTGACGGGACATTAGCAAATTTGACGGAAGCAGAGGCTTCAAGCATGCTTGCCAAAGGGGTTTGACTCTCTGGTTGCTGAGAACTTTTCTGGCACCATGTGAAGAAATCCAAGCCAGCCCGCTGGAGATGGACGACCCAGCCAAGAGCCAGGACCAATCCCCATACATAGGAGCGAGGCTACCTTAGACTATCTGACCCCATCTGAGCTGCCAGGTGATTGCAGCCACATGAATGGCTCCAAGTGAAACCAGCCCCAGCAGACACCGATGGAATCCAGTCCCAATTGCTGACCTACAGAATAATGAACAAATAAAATAGCTGTTGTCTTAAGCCACTAAGTGCTAGGGTGGTTTGTTAAGCCAACAGATAACTGATATATAACTTAAATTAACATCTGTAGATACAGTGGCAGCTATTTTTGGGCTCTTTTCTGTGTTTCTAGCAAAGACATTTTACTGAATGATGAAAGAGTAAGATTCATTTGTGGCAAATCCAGAAAGCCTATTTATTCATTTTAGTTGATTTTAGATAAAGAAGAAGCGGGGTCTGTGCAATTTTAAAAAGTGTGGCAATAGAACTGTCACCCGGACAAAGTGAGAATTTCTGAACGGCAGGAGAGAAATTTGCTGGCAGCAAGGACATGCCATGCTCCTGGGAATAACTCCCTGACGTCACCCTGTGTGTCGCAGCACCAATTCTTTCCCTTGACACTTAGCATGCATGATTACACCGGCATTTTCAGCAGTTTTTGAAGAACATAGATTTTCATTTGGCAAATGGATGCAGCCAAGTGGTCGAGTAAAATCTGGGGGACACAGTGGAGAAGTATGGCTGCATAATCTATATTTATGACAAGGAATTGAGTGGGGAATTAACTCTGAAAGAGTCTAAAGGACTGAAAATGATGATGAGAAACCAAAGAAATGGATGTATTCAGAGCAGAGAGATAATACGAAAGCCTCTGAGTTCTATGTGGTTCTGGCCCAACATCCAGGCCCAAATAAATAGCTGTCAATACTCCTCAGTTAAAAGAAAAAAAGAACAGCTAGTAGACTAGGAAGGTGGTTCTTAGAGTAAGGTGACTCCAAAACTGTCAGAACTGTGGGTGGGGGAGGTGGAGAGGTGAATGGAGATTCTCCTCAGGATTCAGTGGAGAAGCCCAGACTCCATTAACATTCCTCACAGGAATCAGAAAGGAATGTCTGTTAAGTATTTTTTTTTTCTGGAAGAGAAGACAATACAGGGATTTCGAACTGATGCTGGAGGTAACAAAGAGACACAAGTGGAAGACACACTAGGGGATTCATTCAGCTTTCCTCAGAACAATTGCAAACTATATATTTTTTTTCCTACTGGGGACTCTTCCTCTTCCTTGAGATGGGGGAAAATTTCACCTGGGGATACAAAGGCTGCTTTTCAAATTTAATTTAGATACTACATAAGGTAGCAAGGCCACTTACTGCCCCCCTCCCCTCAGCCCCTCAGGATTTGCTCTCCTGTCTCATAGCATCGTAGGTACTCAAATTCTGCAAAAAAGGCAACTACCTCTCCTCTCTAGGCAGCCTGTGTGCTTGGACTGAAACGTTGGCTCCCCAGGGTGGGCAAGTGACCTAGGTTAAGCCACTGGCACCTTCTAGCAGCCCAAGGAAGGGGGCATGACCCCACTAGAAGCAACGAACCGTCACAGGACTTCTGGGACTGAGCAGGCACTTCTGTTGGAAGCTGAGGGCTGGCGCCACCATTTCTACCACATGCATTAGATTCTGGGATGAAATCCAAAAATATGGTGGAAGACAGCCACAGAAGGTGGAACTCAGAGCTCTGAATCCAGCCATATCTGAAATTATGCTTACCCTCTGGACGGTTCATTTACATGGGGCAATAAATTTCATTTTTGCTTAAGTTTATTTGTATTAGATTTTCTTGCACTTGGTACCAAGAGAGTACTAACTATTCCTTCCTTATCAGATTTTTCATGTATAGAAATGGAGGAATTCTGCTTTAAGATAACATCTATCTGCAGCCTATAATTCTGATTTAAGAGAACAATGGGAGAGGAAGAGCCTTATAATATTCTGGAGCAAAGCAGGTATTTCCAGAGAAACTGCCTCTTGCGCTTGTAATCAATTCAGTAAAATTTATTGAGTGCCCACTCTACTTTAAGCACACGTTCTTTCTTTCTTTCTTTCTGTCTCACAATGGAAGGTAAATGTATGTAATCACATTGAATGCCATTGACATCATGGGTAGGAATGTGCCCTTGAGCACGATATTGCTATAATGATTAGAATCTAGTAGCAAAAAAAGCAATTAAAGAGCAGAAAGTGCATTATCATCTTTTAAA